GGAGTATAATATTAAGAAACAATAACAACAACAAAACAAAACCCTGCTTACTTAACCCTTTGTAAGTCAGAGTAGCTCTAAAAATCTATGGTAGAAGGAGGAGGCAGAGGGCACATTGGGAGAGGGGGTATGTAACCACCTCCATCCAAGGGGAACCCGCTGAGAACAGGACTGATTGGAATCAGCAGAAACTTTGGCCACATGTGATTTTAGGAAAAGTGGTTGGTAAGAGACAAGTCCTTACCTAATCGTTCTTGTGCTTGCTCACCTTCTAGAAGTGAAGATGTCATCTATTCATTAGAGAGATGTTGACCAGAGCTCCTTTCCACCCCCTGGTAACCAAACTCAAGCAGTGACTACTTAACCAGGGCTGGGTCTCCTGTGTTCTGGCACTAGACTGAGGAAAAGCCCCTCCACATTTAAATGGCTGATATGTGGCAATGGCTCCAGCATGACACACAGCGGCCCCTCTGAAGCTGAGAACAAGGCTCAGGATAAGCCTTCTTCTCACCTTCAGCCCTCCATATCTTCACCTACACATAGTTCCACCCCAGTCAGCATGCATGAGAGGTAAAACATGCCTTTCCGAGGGGAGGAATGCTGATTTGAGACCCTCTGTTGCTCACTCATGCAGAGGCTAAATTGTTCTCCTGCTGACCTTGCTGTGGCCCTAGGCTCTATCTGAATTGAAAGCTTTCTTATCCCTGCCACCCCAGAGAAACTTTAAACATAGTTTAAACATAAGGGGGCAGGAGGACCTCTAAGGAGGAAAGATATTTTGAAGCCTAGACTATCTTTCCTCCTTAGAGGTCCTTCTGCCCCCTTATGTAAAAAGGTTCCACCCTGTTTCGACAACTGCCAGAGCATTTTACTCTCCCCTTCCCTCCAAAAGCATTTTTGGAGAGGGGCAGGGTTTAACTCCAAGACATGAACTTTCATGCCTGGCCTGCAGCAAACTGAAGAATTTCCATACAGCTGAAGGCTGAGTGTTCTAAGGGGCCTTAGAGGAACTGGGCATCTTCCATCAGATTGTCCTGGTTTATACATATGTGTGTTGGGACTAGGGAAGGGCACAGGGCATGGGAGAGGGTGGCAGACTGGCAGGCCACCCTCCAGATCACTTGGGTCTGGACTCCTTTTCTGAACCCTTCTCACCTCATAGAAGTGAGGTCAGATGAAAGGATTCTGTAATGGGTCCCACAAATAGACAAGGGAAGTTAGGGCCATTAGAGGTCATAACCTTTTAATTTCAAGTTTCTGAAGTTGTAGGATTTGTGTTACTTGGTCTGGTAGAGGTGAGATATGAAGACTGGGGTGTATCCTACAGTTTTTAATTTTACAGCCTGCTGGGGCCTCCCAGGGAGAAAGGGGGTTCTCCTGAGTTAGTTCACTCAACTGAGGCCTCAGCTATCAGCTTGGCTAAGGCATCAACTGTCACCTAAACCCTTATGCTAGAATGAGTATCTCTTGCTTGTGCAGGTGCTGAATCACTGTGGCTGCTCTAATTGTTTCTTTTTGTCTATTTTGAATCCTTATTCCAGAGATCCAGTTGTCATCGGTATCCTGGGAGCCCTTTTCCTTCTCCTGCTGCCTCTCTACCACCGCAGTTGCTGGCTGTTGCTAAGGTTGCCTCCATGGTAACATGCACATCTTGTTTATACCTCCATCTGGGCAAGTCGGTCTAAGCTAGGAACCTACCTACCCTGGACAACCACTTCCAGTACCACGTGGGGACACCAATCTTCGTGACACGTGGTCCGGCTTCCACTCAGTTCCCCCATCCTCTTCCTCTTCTCGCTGCCAAGCCTCATACAGGAAAAAGGATCTGGGCTAGAGACTCTGAAGCTTATTGCACAAGATATAGTCCATCAATTTCCTAAGTGCTCTCAGGGAAGCAAGAAGGAAGAAGGAAGAAGTGAGGCAGAGAGGCAAGGGACACTGATCAATTGAAGGGAAACTCCACATTTTTTCTCTTGTCGAGGGGTTTGGTAACAGGAGTCAAAATGACGAACCCTACAGAACGTGGCCTGCCGGCCAATTCAATGATTGAAAGCCGTGAAGGGGACTTTGGCTGCACAGTAATGGACCTGAGGAAGCTCATGGAGTTGCGCTCAACTGATGCAATGAACCAGATCAATATCCACTATGGAGGTGTAATAAATCTCTGCAGTAGACTGAAAACCAACCCTGTGGAAGGTAAAGGCCATGACAGGAGTGGGGAATTGGAGGATGATGGATGGCTAGTGTTAAAAAATACTATTTTCCCAGCTTCTAGAGAAGGCATATTTCTGGAGCCCTCACTGGTATATCTGTGTCTGGTGGGGAAAGTATGGTATCTGAAGCACTAAAACGAGGTGAGGACATAGCCATTTTTTTCTCTCCAGACATGATGTTTAGGGACTGTGTTATCATTCGCTGAAGGTCATTCTTTCCTCCTTTTTCTGTATCAATGCACAGAAAGAAAGATATGTATTTCTACTTTGGAAACATTTATGTTAGAGATGCTTTTATCAGTAAATAATCACATCAAGTCCCTTAGTCTATATCAGTCTGATTGCAAAAGGGTTTAGATATAATTCTTCCCCACTCTGACCTTACAGTGTAATTGGGGAGGCTGGGACAAAAAAAGTAAATAAGTTCATCTACTCGATGTAGCACTTCACTAACGTATACATTTAAAAATAGGGTGATAAATCATAAAGTATAGAGTCGTACCCGCCAAATCGTTGAATTACTCTGTTTCCTGTCAGTGAATTAGTGATGATTTTTTCAATCCTGCCTGATGCACTTTTAGCATAATTCTTCTTAATCTATACTTAAAAGAGTATGAAAAACTCAGCTTTATGCTTGCCTGGCTTAGCCTAATCACCCAATGAGCCATGGTAAAATGAAATTTTGCCTCATCAAAATGGAGAAGGAACAAAATGAACCTTGCTTTGTCACTTTTGTGTGGTTCGGCATTTCTGCTACAGATTTTTATTTGGTCCCATCTGTCAGGCAGGCACCATGGTTGAATAGCATGATATGGAGCAAAGATCTTGTCCTTTAGATGCCTTAAGGTACGCTATTTCTGAGCCTTCCTTTGGAAGCCACATCATATTTCTTGCCAGTTCTAAGAAGTTTGACACCTAGCCAAAGCAACAAGCTAGTGATTTGAAGTCCAGACTTTAGGAATTTTTTTTAAGGAGAATTTTATTTAGCTATCTGTATATTGCCTATGTCTTGTATTTTTGTTGTTGTCGTTGTTGTTGTCGTTGTTGTTGTTGTTGTTGTGTGTGTGTGTGTGTGTGTGTGTGTGTGTGTCTGAGAGAGCTACCTTACATGTTCTCTTTACTTCTAGAATTCAGTTTTCTATCTTACAGGCTTTGAGTTGAAATACTAGCTCTATCATTTACTAACTGAACAACATTGAACAGTTCACTCAGCCTCTCTGAGTCTGTTTCTTCTTTGAAAATAATGTTTATACCTAGCCCATAGAGTTATTAGGATTAAATACTATAATGTATGTATAGTGCTTGTTTATAATGGGGATTCAATAAATTAGTCGTCTCAGATTAAAACAGAGCTCATGTGTCTGAAGATATTTGCCAGAATATGAGTGTCTATGGAGTACAATGTGTCATTATATCTCTAGAGTTACTGCTTGTGTAACTGTGACAGTTGTCCATTTTGTCCAGTCACCTCTTGATGTCTAAAAGAGATCTGGTTGAGGTGGCAGAGCTTAGTTGCTCTCATGTGGCTCAGTCTTTGCCTTTTGGCTGGCATCTAAAGACTGTCCTTTGGCACTACTTACTTCTTGTCAGCCAGATTTCTTTATTCTACCATTTTTTGGGGTAGTATTGACCTTAAAGAGAGGCTATTCTTATTATGTTTTCATTGAGATAATGCACCAATCAGAATTTAGATGGATCTTTCTTTTTCCCTATCTATCCTGTTCTTGATCCTTTTCGTCAGTTTGTTTCTCTCACAAAGTGAAACTCAAGAGTCCGAATAAGATGAAACCTAAGAACCTCTAATAGCAGGATCTGGATTTTCCTCTCAATTCTCCAAATCTTGTCTCATAACTGCTACTGTTTACTTTCTGATTCCCAGAGAGCTTCCATTCCCAAAGGCCAACATATATCCTACTTTAATCTCAACATCGGATATCAAATGTTAATGCTCTTAGATTCTTTCCCAGTCTTGGATTCATACCTAGAGTTGAAAGCCACCCTTTCTGATGGCACGTGCCTCTGTTGCCACAGACTCTGGCTGTGCCTATATCCCAGTATCTCTACCATTGGTACAGTTGTCCATTGCCATTCTCCTGCTTCCTTAGATCAAAAATATGTACCCTGATTTGTTTCAATGTAAGACACTACAGTGGGGCTGGTCCTTGAGCTGGGGGATCAGGGTGTCAGAAGACTTTTCCATGAGTGATTTTCAGCTCCACAGTGCCAACAGTGACCTCCTCATGTGTGAGAGAGGAATAAAGGGATAGGAAAAGGAGACACTGAAGAGCAACACAGGAGTCTCTCCCTAGACAAGGGTGATGCTGAGCTGTTTAGTCGGGAAAGCTGAGAAAAAGAGCCTTGATATCCACGTCCCCCAATGAGCTGATGCTACAAAAAGACAGCCTATTCACAGAAGACCACACTGAGGTGCCTTACAGCCTAGCATGGTTGTGTCACCTATGGAAGGCACCTGTGGACTAATAAGAATATAAGAATTTACCTGGTGCTTGAATTCTGTTGGTTGGAAACCAAAATGAAGTAAAATTGGGATGATTGGTGTCTAGAGTATGACCGTCCTCCTTTATTTTCTGTTGAGTTAATAGCATCTTTAGTATAGATTGACAGATTTTTTTGAAACCAGAGCTACTAAGTGGCATTATGAAACTTGGGGGTTTATAACATTTCTGACACTAACATGGTTTTATTGTAGATTTACACAATTCTAGAGGGAAGTGGGACTTAATTTTAATTTGTATATTCTCTCCCCACCCCCTTTCCTCTCTCTCTCTCTCGCTCTCGCTCTCGCTCTCGCTCTCTCTCTTGATCTCTCTCGCTCTCTCTCTCTATCTCTGTTTCAACAGGCTAAAAAGTTTAAATTATTTGCCTAAGTTTTTACCACAGGGTAGAAAGAACACAATGAAATATTTTATATTTTCTGACTCACAGTCCTTTAATGCTCTGCTGCCTCATGCTAGAGCAGCAACAGAGAATCTCAGAAGCACAAATAATTTAAAAGTTTGTTTTATGTTTGTTGACATAAGAATATCCAAACTTATAGAGAAATTTTATGAGTTTATTTGAGCCAAACTGATTACATACTAGAAGGCAAGATCTCAAATTCTCTGGAAAATGATGATTTTACCATTTCTTTTATACATTTGAAATTAAGGAAGGAACATAAGGAAAATTACATGAAGGTGGGAGAAAGTGAGGCAGGGACTGGATTACAGGATAGTTAACAAGATCATGTTCTCTGTTGAGGGTGCCTACTCTTTTGAGGGGCTTGAAAAAGAGGCATTTCAAATGTGTGGTTAACCTAGATGCACAAGAACAGTGGACACAGCTGGCTTAAGGCAAAGGTAACCTTTTACTAGGGGAAGTTATATACCTGCAGCATGATTACCCACCATGACTTGCCCAGTTAGGAATTTAAGATCAGATCACCCTGTAAGGTTTCTTTAGGTTAGATTTATTACAGAGGCCCCTTTATATCCACATACTTTAATGCTCAATAAAATATCTAATTGAGACCTTACCAATGTTAATTTAATATCGGCTTGTGCTCCTTGAGGATACCTGCCTAGTTGGAATGAGAGGAGTTGCCCACTGGCCTGGAGTTGGTTAGACTCAAGAACACTCGGGGGTGCTCAGCTTCCCAACATTCAGCAACAACCAGAAACAAGGCTGAGTGTGAATGACAAAGGGAAGGAAAGTCAGGGAAACAGTGGGGGGCACACATGAGAGAAACCCAAGCCAAAAGAATATCTTGGAGGGAAGAGAAATGGTGGAGGTGAGCAGACGACCTCACACAGCCGGCCAGAAAGCAAGCTACGCTGTGATGTGAGTGGTTCAGGCAAGTCTAGTAGCTTCATAAAACAAATATTTAGTGCTTGGTAAGAGGGGTGGGAAAGATTTTCACAAAACTTGGGGGAAGCAGCATGCACAGCCATATGGTAGATGATTGAGAAAAAGAGGAGAGTAAAAGTACACTCCCTTCATCCCTCCTCCTCCTGCAGGGAATTCCAAGTTGCATCCTGGGAGTTCCCTGTCTGGTTTGAGTTACTGCCTAGGGCTGAATTAGGCCAACAATGCATGACAGCTGTGGACCTTCTCTTCTCAGCTCAACCCCAGGCTCTGCAAATTCTTTCCCATATAGCTCCTCCTTGCCCAGAACTGGATTTCTGCATTAGTTGGCATGATGGTGTCAGGCCAGGGGGCAGAGAAATCTCGATGAGGAGAGTGGTTAAGTCTTCCTGAACCTGAGCACCCTCCTTGCTTTCTCCCCTTCTCTTAGGCCTGGAACCCTTTGTACTGCATTCCCTTGGCAGCTTAGCAGAAACTTGCAAGTTTTGTTTTCATGTGAACCTTCTTGTTCCTGCCTTGCATTGAACCATCAGCTGAGGGTGGAAGGATGGCGTTCCCTCCTTGACTGAGGCCCGTGTGGGGTCTACTCTGGAAGTGAGGCTTTTGCTCTTTTTATTTAGCTCTGAGGTGCAAGCACTAGGGAGTGTGACCTGGATGGAAGCACATGCGTGCAGTAAGGGAGAAGGCAGTAAGTAAGAGGGCACTCGGGAGGCTTACTCTTCTATGCCAGAGTTGGAGTGTTCAAAACAGGCAGAGAGTCAGATAAGGGGAACATTTGCCAGAGGATGTGCCCACTTCAGCAAGAATAAGTCCATCATCCTCGTGCTATGATCTGGAGGAGACTACTTCATCTCTAGGGGCTGGAAGTCCAGCAGAGAGAGAACACATACCCAAGCTGCGGATGTGCTAAGCTGGAGACGCTGAAGTGTAGAAACTGCTCTTCGTCTTTAAAGGAATGGCATTTGACTAGCAGCAGGAGCCGGCTAAAGCCTGTAGGTTTCTATATTGATGTGAAGCTGCTCCTCCTCATGGCTTCCTAATTCAGAGTTTTTAAGGTAGGACTTGAAAGGTATTTTAGTCTCTGTTCTCATATACCAGAGAGGACTGCCTTCAGATCAACCCAAAGAAACCTCTCCCTTGTGCTATCTATGTGGGAAAAGATTCAGCTGCGTCTTTGGCAAGGTATCATAACTCAGACAGCTGGGAAGTCCCAACCTAGCCCTATCCTTCCTGGGGCTGAGCTGGTTCTGATAAGGGTCCCTTGGCCAACAGTCTTGGGCCTCCTAGGGAGGCTGGCCCTGGCCCTCTCCTGCTGGTGCCAGGCCCCTGAGGACTGGGCTGCAGCCTCTCCTCCCTAGCCCGAGGTCCCGGCACAGGCTCACAGCAGACGCAGATTTTCCACTGCTGTTCATATTGCCTCCTGCCTGGGCAGGAGCTGTGTCACTCCCCAGCACGGGCGGGGACGGGCAACTTCATGGACTGACATTCTTGTGGCCTCTCCCAGTGCCTGTGTTCAGTCTGGTCCTTAGGCCCAGGAGCCTCCTGATGGGGTGGCGCTTTCTCTCGTGTTCTTGGGAACAAGGTTTCCTCCCATTTCCTTGATGTATTTCTCAGGGAAGCCCTTTTCTTGTGTTTCCGGCATTCTCTCTCTGCCAAGTCTTCCTTCCCTCTCCAGGAAGCTGTATATTTGAGAAGCAACTGTGGAGATCAGGGACTAAAACCCTTTCCTGGTCTAGACAAGCATGAATGTGCAATTATAGCTCCTGAAAGCAGGTCCTGAGAACCTCTCGGGGACAGGAAGAATTGGAATGGAAAGCCCAAAATTGGGCTTTGGCCAAGCTCCCATTCCCACATGGCTTTCTGTGCCATGCCACATGTCTGAGAGACAATTCCCAAGGCTACTATGCTAACAGCCCAATCTGCCCTTCCCTGCCACAGGGCATTCTGGGAACTGGGACAGCTACATGGCTTCTTAAGGTAGCTATTGAAGAGCTTAGAGTGACTTAAGGTGGAGCAGATAGATAAGAGAAAATGGCAAAAAAGAAGTAAGTGTGTAGCTTTGAGGGCATCTGGGTAAGAGAAAGGCCTGACCTTTGTTTTCCATAATATGTCTTGTTTCATGTGTTTGGTCCAAAAATGGCCATAATAAGCCTTTATTGAGTACAAAGTCTATAGGTTAGACTCTGACAGACCTGGTGTTACCATCCCTGAGGACAGGAAAAAGACAGGACTAATTCACTCCCATCGTAAATAGTGGGAACTGGGCTAATTTGCTTAGAGGTGCAGAGGAGAGCAGAGTGGGCTGCCTGCAGTGAATGAAGTAGGGTGACCAACCTGTGCTGTTTGCCTGGGACTGAGGGGGCATTCTGAGGAGGCGGGAGCTTCACTGCTAAAACCCAGAAAGTCCCTGGCAAACCAAGACAAGCGAGTCACGCTGGAATGAAACCTCAGCTGAGTGCAGCCCTTCTACGTGCAGGTGGGCATCCAGCTGCTTCCTGGGAAGTGGTATAGCCTCTGCCACATACTAGGCTTGAGTAGTTATGTAACCTCTCCCGGTCTTAGTTTGCTTATATATTAAATGGAGTTAATTGTAGCTACCGCATAGGGTTTAGGATGTTTGAATGAGAAGACACAAATGTGCCTAGTGAAGCGTCTGGCACAGAAAAATCACTTAAATGCTAGCAAACTTATTTATTACTCATTCATCCAGTTTAGTCAGTAAATTTGTATGTGTACCATGTGCCAGACACTGCTGTGGACCTAAAGAACAAAGATAAAAATCCGGCCTTTGTGAAGGGGGATAGACAAACAGAATAATGACTACGTACACCTGAAACTAATGTAATATTGTATGCCAACTGTAATTGAAAAAATTTTTTAATTATTTTAAAAAAGAGTAAATGAATACATCGCATCATATATTAGGGGAGAAGACCCGTAGAGGGAACGATTGAGCAGGATAAGGGGAATGTAAAGCGCTGGGGTAGAGAAGCCATAATGTTAAATGCAGTGGTCCCAGTGGGCCACACTAAGAAGGTGACATTTGTACAAAGACCTGAAGGACGTGAGAGAATGAGTCCTACCTAGTGAAGAGGAATCCAAGCAAAAGAGACGTGAGCCCTAACATAGTGCATTCCAAGACCAGAGGGAAGGCTAGCTTGGCTGGATCTCACGACCAAGGGGAAAATTGTAGGAGTTGAGGGGTGGGGGGCCGGGAGCTCCTACAGGGCCCGTATAGGCCATCTTAAGGTCTTTGGTGCCCAGTTTCACGCCAAACAAAAGCCACCAGAGGATTGTGAGTAGGTAAGTGTCATGGGTTGGATTTTTAAAATATCATTCTGGCCACTCTTTTGAGGACAGAGAAATGAGGGGATAAGCAAGGAGACCAGGAAGAAGTTGTAATAATCCAAGCAAGAGATGATGATGGCTTAGACCAGGATGGTAACAGTGGAACAAGAGAAATGAGTGGACCTGGAATATATTTTGAAGGTAATGCTGGCTGATTCTTGACTAAATGGATTAATAGATGAGAGAGAGAGAGAGAGAGAGAGAGAGAGAGAGAGAGAGAGAGAGAGAGAGAGAGAAGACAAGGATGAGAACAGGGAGGGGCAGGGCTCTTTCACATGGGTGCTTCTAGCTCGGCTTTTGTTGTTGGGCCTTCCTTACTGGGACGATCCTTATTATGACCTCTAATTTCTGATGTCTTGGTTTGCCTTTATAGTCATGTATTCACCCTTGTTAAGGAGGGAACGAAAGGCCTGCTGTCTTCCCTTTATGTTGTGAATTGTGCTTCCTTGAGAAACATCCCAGGTAGATTCACAAATTATCAGAACTCCTATTTCCTTCAGGCAAACCTGGCCCTCTGGCACAACAGTCCCAAGTTGGCACAGCCTTGGTATCTAGGGTTCCTGGGGAGAAAAACCAGCAAGGCCCTGCCCCCTGGCATCTCTGCCTGTGCCTGCCTGGGGATCAAGATGCCCTGCCCAGGAACACTTTTTCCCCAGGCCCTTGCTTTTCTTTCCTCCTGGGAACTTGACTTCCCAGAGCGTGGAGGCAGGAGCCTCTGGGAAGCAGCCCAACTTACTTCCAATGTTTTGACCAAACCCTGCTCCCCTGCAGAGCTCAGCTGTAGGCCAGGGTGGTACTGCTGGGCACTGGGAGGCAGGAGCTGGGGTTGGGGGCTTAAGAACACTGGGCATCACTTTCCCGACCAGCTCCCTGTTTTCCTCTCCTAAGCACTAGCAAGCGGAGTGGTCTCTAGCCCCCAACTCCACAAGTGTGGATGCCAGTTCACCCCCCACTTTACCTCCAGGCAGGGTCCCTCATCTGCCTTCCCAGACAGATGAGTACCTCTCCTGGCGGTTTTGTTTTCAGGGTGAAGTGGAGGCTGTCTCCGACCTTGCAAACAGCACTCTCTTGGGTACCTATTTTCCCATTTTCAAAACCTTTTTCTGTCTGAATGTCTTCCTTAGATCTAACTCAGATCTCTCCTCTTGCCATTTAACACCCTGGGGTCCTGTTCAGTGGAGATGGAGAGTATATGTTTGCCCTCGTGCTACGCCCCCACCCCTGCCAGTAGAATACCCTGCATGCTGACCGAAGTCTGAAGAAGTCCTCTGGCATCAGCACCTCCTTTTTCTCCACGCAGTGCTGTCGTTGGCTTTTCCTTGCTCTCTGTGTGAAGTTCCACCCTCTGATTCTGTTAGTGGCTTGTCCCCTGATTCTGACCCTTCTCAGCTGCTGACGTTTTTTTCAGGACAAAGGCTGCCCCACCCTGCCAGTGGGGAACTCATCGAGCAGTGCAGCCAACAACTGCAAGTGCCAAGACCAGGGCTAATATGCTGCTGTGTGTAAACAACTTGATAAATGCCAACTGACAGTAATAGAAATTTTAGGATTTACCCGCTTCTCTTCAAGTGTAAACCCCTGGGGCCCAGCAAGGGAAGTAGGCACTGGGAATAATTAATTCTCTTTGCTCTCTGGGAACATGCCCAGAATATGTGTGCACGCCCGCGCAGGTACATGAGCACAGGTGCGTGTTAGTGGGAGCGTACAGGCAGTCAGGATGGGCTACCATCAACTTTAGGCTCCACCTTTTTCGTTCTCTTTTTATTCAACCAGGATAGTAGTACTTCTCTTAGTACCTAATACTTAGTCTAAGTAGTACTTCTCTAAATACACAGTACTTAGTAGAATAGTAGTACCTCTTAGTGGTGTGTATGAGACGGAAAATGGAGGATATGCGTGCTCAAAGTTGGAGTCTCAGAGCCTCTGTTCTGTTGATCTCCTAAAGCCACTGGAACTTGGAGTCAGGACAACTGGTGGGGCTGTGTCTCCTAGCTTCCTAGCATGACCTTGAGCAGATAGCTTCTTCTTTCTGGCCTTTGTGTGTTTTTAAATCATCACCGGCATTTATATGTTAACGTGAGAGAGAAGTTCTGTGTGAGTCCTCGGAAACGTTTAAATGTCTGCGTTCTTAGTGCTGGAGCCTGAAGCGTACTCAATGAGGAGGACATGAAGTTTTAGGTCCAGGTTAGCTTAACCCAGAGAGTAAGAGGAGTGAGTGAACCCCGTGACCAACTTGTCTCAGTTTGTCCATTTCTAGACTGAAAGTTTCACACCCCTGAGTCCTGGGCAAACTGGGATGGTTGGTCACCCTAACTGGATCTCATACTTGGGCAGATCAGGAAGCAAAGGGTCTTTTTTTTAAAGAGGTCTTTTCACTGCCTTCTTCTATCATTCATCTCTTCCCCTTTTTTCTGACTCATTCATCCCACTCCTATCTCCTTTTCAGGCCTATCTGGGAACCCGGCAGATCTGGAGAAACGTAAGCAAGTGTTTGGACAGAACTTAATCCCTCCCAAAAGGCCCAAGACCTTCTTAGAATTAGTGTGGGAAGCCCTTCAAGATGTCACACTCATCATCCTGGAGATCGCGGCCATAATCTCCCTGGTCCTGTCCTTCTACCGCCCCCCTGGTGAAGAAAATGAACGTGAGTGTCTTAAACAGCCCAACATGACTCTGATCAGTTTCTTTGTATGATCACCAAAAAGCACTTAGTGTTGGTGGTTGACAGATTATAACTTGAAAGTTTTCCCTCATTATCCAGGGTGGGTTCTCCAAAGGAAGCCAACAAGTAGCTAGTAAGCTATTCTTCCAACCCATTCTCATTCCAGGGTCTTTTACCCCTTCTCCCATCAAATCCTTATTGAGAATGCCCAGAATCCTCTACCCTCACCCAACCAACAAAGCCCTGCTTCTAAAAAGTGCCCCCACCAATGTCATTGGCATTTGAGGACATAGCAGTGGGAGCCTGACCATATTGGGAATCATAAGTTCTTTACATGTAAATTGCCTATAATTTGCATTGACGTGTTCTATGCTGTTTAGTCATTTGCTTCTTTTGGGTTAACATAAATAGGTACATGGTGATAAAATGATGCCCAATCCTTCTGCCCTTCGGTATCCTCAGAAGATAGCTCTTCTGCTTAAGAGTTTTATTTTTTATAATTCTCCTTCCCTGACTTTCCATTCTGTGGTATTGAGGAAGCACTAACCATTTTTAATGTCAACAGAAGCCCCTCGGTGATTCTTTCTTTCTGTCTTTTCCCTGGGTTAGAGTGTGGTCTACCCGTAAGTAGCCCAGAAGATGAAGGGGAGGCAGAAGCCGGCTGGATTGAGGGGGCAGCCATTCTATTCTCGGTGGTCATCGTAGTGCTAGTGACAGCCTTCAATGATTGGAGCAAAGAGAAGCAGTTCCGGGGGCTACAGAACCGCATTGAAAAGGAACAGAAATTCTCTATCATCCGGAACGGTCACATCATCCAGCTCCCTGTGGCTGAGATCGTGGTGGGTGATATCGCCCAAATCAAATATGGTGAGAGCTTCGTGTTTCTCCTACCCATGTCACCCTTTCTATTTGAGATTCAGGTCTTTTGGCATAAGGACCCAAGAAGATAGGACCCAAAACTGAATTAGCTTCTAGGTTAACATTTAAGGAGGTTGTAGGAAGAAAATTCAAAGAAAGAAGTAACTGAAACTCTTCCAAAAGATTGTCAAACTTTTGTGTTTGAAATCTTGTGTCTTTGAATTTAAAGTATATAATATTCAGGTCATAGGAAGGTATATGGGGATCAATAATTGTTTGAATTTATCATACCTGGAAAGGAGTCTCGTCCGTGGTTGTCAGAGCTGAAGTTATCTTTCAAAGGCTCTCCAACTACTCCCTGGGCCATTGCCTCTAAGTAGGGCCCCGAGGGCAGCCCTTAGATGGGGTTGGATGGTGGTCCTCACCCTCCACCAGGCTCTTACCTCCCTTCTTTCCCCTCCCCGCCTGTGCGCCAGGTGACCTGCTGCCTGCAGATGGGATCCTGATCCAGGGTAATGATCTCAAGATTGACGAGAGCTCTCTGACGGGGGAATCGGACCATGTCAAGAAATCCGTGGAAAGAGACCCCATGTTGCTCTCAGGTATGGCCTGTGGCTACCCCAGTCCCCTTTCTGCCTCCCCCACAGACAGCCAGGCCACAGAGATCTGACCCAGACCCTACTCTTCTCTTCTGGCCCTGCCCCATCTCCTTCCCCTGGGTTCACCTGGGGCAGTGGCATATTAGTGGGTTGAATACAAGGATATCAGGTAACCTAAAAGAAGTTCTCTGTGCAGGGGCCTTCAAAGGGCTCTGCTGGCTGGGAGTGGGGGCTGGGGGTGGGCAGGAACTGTACTCTAAAGCAGTTAGACGCGTTTATCTCCTTATCTCCAGTTTTCTTGGTCTATTTTAAATGGTCCCAGCTCCTGACCCGTTTCTACTATCTGCTGAGTATATCTTTATCCATGCCCCTGCAGGGAGGAGGGGCTGTTTTTTTCTAAGTCTGTATTTCATGCCAGAGCATGGCTAGGTGTGAGAAAGCAACACTTTTCCCATCTTCTCCTTTCTCATACAGGGACCCATGTCATGGAAGGTTCTGGCAGGATGGTCGTGACTGCTGTGGGTGTCAACTCCCAGACTGGAATCATCTTTACCCTCTTGGGGGCCAGTGAGGGAGAAGAAGAGAAGAAGAAGAAAGGTAAGAGGCATTCAGAATGAGATTCTTTCATCCCATTCCCCATGGACAAACTAGGAAGCAAGGGAGCAGATCTGGATGGAAGAATCTGCTGGATGAAAAGTCAGGTATCCAAACCCCTTGCCGAGATAAAAATGTCAACGCTGGCTCTCCAGGGTGCTCAGATGAAAACCAGATCCTGGCTCTAGGCTCCCAAATCAGGCTGCATTTGAGCTTTGGTTCCTGTGCCTATCGGTAGGTTGCAAAGAGGTGAGTTATCAAGCCTGCCACAAGTGAGCCGGCTAGGTGCTCTGGCCTAAAATGCCCTCTGTGTAGTTCTCCGACCCCTCCTCCCTTTCTTCCTCAAACGTGGGGGATTAAATGAACCAGGAAGGCTAAGGGTAAACTGGCTGGGAGATGAAACTGGATTCCTGGCCGCCAGTGGAAGAGAAATGGAGGAAATGGAGCCAGGAGAGTGAGCAGAGAGGTGATGTGTCCTCTGCAGTTCAGCCTGTCTTTGCCGTTCACTTGCTCCTGAAGGAAGGAAAACAGAAGATGAACGAGAAAAAGTAAAACCAAATCTACACCTTTTCCTAAGCTCTCCTTCCCTTGAAGGAGAGAAGGACTCTGCCGCTTCGATGGAGGACCATCTTGGGCTGTTTAGTGGAGGGCAGTTTATGAAAAGGAAATAAAACACACTCCCTCAGGAACTAGATCATTCATTTCTGCAGCTACCCGCAGATGAATAAGGAGGAAGCTTGCCTGGTGCTGTTGAATTGACATGGAGACACCTTGCAGGGCCTTTGCCGTCAGGCAGAAACAGTTCGAACGTCTCACTTCCTAACGCCCACCCCATTTCTCCAAGTGATATGACTCAGGCCAGGAGCACCCTCCCGGTGGCAGCCACGCGCCAGGAGAGAGCAGCTCGGGCATAGGTGTGCGCTCACCTGCACGAGTGGTCTGGTCCATATCCCACGGTTTCATGAGAGCCCCTAGTGAGAAGGGAGGTAAGCAGAGACATGAACTTCCTTCACATTCCCTTCCCTGCAACTCAGCCCCTATGCTGTCGCCCTTTTGGGCTCTGAGCAGGACCAACAAATTAGATATCTGATCTCTTAATAGTCACTTTGGGTCTCCACCCCACTTTTTTCTTTCTTGTTCAAACAGGTAAAAAACAAGGAGTCCCTGAAAATCGCAACAAAGGTAACCTGTCCACCCACTCATTTACCATCTCTACCTAACTACACTCAAACCAGACCTTTCCAGGCCATCTGCCTTCTCCTTTTCCTTGCCATAAATCTGTTATCTGCTACTGTGGCCCAGATTTCTCATCCTGAGGAAGGTGCAGAGATTTGGGGGTGGTCGCAAGGGCCCAGTCCCAATCTGAGATGGGACAACAGCACCCTCTGCTGTTGGCTCAGGGAACCTCATGTCAGGGTTTCTCTTCGGGAGTGTGTAGGATTTGATCTGCTCTTCCCAGGGTGCTGGAGCCTTTGCCGCATTGCCCTAGGCCGGATTTAAACACCAATGTTCATCAGTTTCTGGGTTGGAGGACTTCAGGGTCCTTATGGTGGAGGGAGTTGGGTGGGCAGTCCCTGCACCCTCCTCTTGCTAGCTTCCTCATTGGTGTCCTCTTCTGGTCTGGAATCCTTCTCCGCTGTTCTCGGGGGTGCTTGGAGAGAGCCTTTTCTCCATGATTCTCTCCCGACCTCTTTCTTTATTCTCTCCACAGTCTGTTTTCTTCCTCCTGATCTGATGTGTGTTTCTTTTTTGGTGGCTGTGCTGACATCCGTCTCTGTCTTGTTTGTGAGTCTGACAGCAGAGACAGTGTCTCAGGAAGGGCATCCTAAGCAAAGGAGCCAAGCTCTGCAGGGTGAAATTAGAGGGCGGTGGGAGCCAGTGAGAATTGTTCTCTTGAGACAGTTTCTGGAGATTGTCCTCTGTCACCCACACCATACAGTCTTTAAAAAGAAAGTCATCACATCAGAGAACCTGGGGTACACAGAAATAATTCCTTAATTTTAGGTCTCTTTAACTCTTCTTTTTAATGCAAAATGGGTTTATATGTCTGTCTTTATCTCTGCTTTCTCTTATTCTAGGGGGTCCCTCACACCAGCTTCTTCCCTCTCCCCCAGAAGGTTAACCCCAGTCCTCACTCTGTATCTCTCTACCTCTATCAGTCAGGGGAGGAGGGGTTTCCTTTCCCTTTGTTCAGCTGACACAAGAAAGAACTGAAGAACACCCTGTGTCTGGTCTCTGTGCTTCTTTCCTGGCAGTCTATAGATAGAGAGAGGTGAACCTTTGAGCAGAGCAAACTAGGACCCTTACGCTCTGGACACATCTGCCAGCCTTCCCTTTCAGCCCCTTTCTGCAATAAAGATTCGCTATTGTAAGCACTGAATTCCAGAAATGGGTAATTGTTAGTAATAGTGCTGAGTGGCATGACTAATGCTCTTGCTGGAATAAACCTGGCTTGGGGCTCTGAGATCATGCCAGGAAACTGCACTGAAGAGGAAATCCATACCCTAAAAGCGCCCCTATTTCATCTCTAGTTGCTAGAATATCGTTCTACAGGACCTAATAGAGGATCAAAGGAAAGCATCCAGTCTGGCATGGAGTGAGGGTGGTCAGGACTGATGTCAGGGGTCCAGGGTGTATCCAGGAAGAACACAGAAGGGTTTTTTGGTTTCCACCTGCCTGCTGCTCAGTGCCACTACCTGGCCTGCTCACCTGTCCTATTTGTGTGTACACCCCAGCAAAGACTCAGGACGGAGTGGCCCTGGAAATCCAGCCACTCAACAGCCAGGAGGGGCTCGACAGTGAGGAAAAGGAGAAAAAGGCAGCCAAACTGCCCAAGAAGGAGAAGTCAGTGCTGCAGGGCAAGCTGACTCGCTTGGCTGTTCAGATCGGGAAAGCTGGTGAGTAAGGCGGAGCCTTCCGGTGGTTGTGGTTGATTCAAGCTGTTCCGAATCCTCCTTGCTGCTTTGATTCCTTTCTCTCCACACCACCCAGGTCTGGCAGAAGAAGCTAAAACTTCTGAGTGGCTCGTGCAAGTCTAGGTAGCCATATCTTGTGCCTCTGCCACCCTATGGCCACTCCTTAGGCTTTCAGAGGGAAAGGTTTCTCCGTATGTGAGGGTTAAAGGCCCTGAAGTCTCTTTCATCCAAACAAATGGGAAGTAGAGACCCTATATCACAACAAAGGCGATTTACATTAGCAAGAAGGGAGACTTTAATTCCCTGCTTACCTGTCAGCTGTGTGGGCTTGTAAATCCCTGAAGCGTAGAGAAGGCTGTTGTTCCTCAGAGGTGGCTCTCAGCAGAGTAGTAGCATCAGGCCAGGCACAGAGCCATAAATTCAAAATAAGGACTGTAGAGAAAAGGAAGACAGTTATGCAGAAGCTCTCTCAAGGAGAGGTCACTAAAGGTGCCCTGTGTGTCACGAGAGGAAGTGGCTTCTAGCCCAGGACATCTCTGTATGTACAGTTCACGTGGGACTTTGTTAAAATGCAGTATCTGATTCAGGAAGTCTAGGGTGGGGCCTGAGAGTCTACATTTCTAACCAACCCCAGGTGAGGCCAATGCTGCTGACCCACTAAGCACACATGAGTAGCTAGAATCCGTGTTGTCCACTACCATAGCCACTAACCATTTTTGGCTCTTTTGATTTAAATTAATTAAAATTACATACAATTAAACATGCAGTTCCTCAGTTTACCTTAGCCTTATTTTGGTTGGTCAGTAACCACATGTGGCCAGTGACTACTATATTAGACAGTGCAAACCAAAACATCACAGTGAATTCTATTGGACAGCATTAGTCTAGCCCATTCATTTGATTCTATTACCCAGCCAATTTTGAGTACTGTAAAATCTCTTGAATATAAACTATACGTGGATGAGATGAATCGCAGGTATAGAACCAAGTTATTGAGCCTGGCACAAAGGTTTGAAACATTACACAGACTCCACCTAACCCTTCCTATTGTCCTCTTAATCCCCACCTTGTTCTGGAGGAAGTAAAATCTTCCAAATGGCTGACCACTTGTCTAACTCTGTTGTTTTATTTTATATATCGAGCTAGGCCGGGGCCAGGGTGAGGCAAATGATGTGCCTCGTGGGACCCTCAGAGTGCTGATGTCTCCTTCAGTTTTGTACCATAGTTTTGTTTGTTTTGTTCAGTTTTGTTTGCCTCACCTTAGCCCTGAGGCTGACGAAACACAGTGCAGAAGAATATGCTTTCATTGATATTCACTGATCACCTGTAGTCTTGCTCTGATCCCCATTGGTTGTCAAGCCCTCAGAAAAAGTAAAGACCCAAACCAGACTGTGGTTTAAGCCAGAGCTCTTCCCATATTGCACCACAGATATGGGTACTGCTGTGCCCAGATACTGGCCCCAGGGGAATTGGAGCCCCTAGGCCAGTGGTTTTAGACCTTGAGCTGATTCTTCCATTTACCTCAGTGTATAGGATGACCAACTGTCCAATTTGCTTGGGACTTTCTCAGTTTTAGCACTGAAAGTCCCATGTCCCAGGAAACTGCTCAGTCTCAGGCAAACCAGGATGGTTGGTCGCTCTAACAGTGTGCCGTACCAAAAACCTCTGTGTGCCTTAGTTTCCTTAGAAAAAGGGATGATAATAGTAACTTGAATCCGTGTTGTCCACTACCATAGCCACTAACCATTTTTGGCTCTTTTGATTTAAATTAATTAAAATTACATACAATTAAACATGCAGTTCCTCAGTTTACCTTAGCCTTATTTTGGTTGGTCAGTAACCACATGTGGCCAGTGACTACTATATTAGACAGTGCAAACCAAAGCATCACAGTGAATTCTATTGGACAGCATTAGTCTAGCCCATTCATTTGATTCTATTACCCAGCCAATTTTGAGTACTGTAAAATCTCTTGAATATAAACTATACGTGGATGAGATGAATCGCAGGTATAGAACCAAGTTATTGAGCCTGGCACAAAGGTTTGAAACATTACACAGACTCCACCTAACCCTTCCTATTGTCCTCTTAATCCCCACCTTGTTCTGGAGGAAGTAAAATCTTCCAAATGGCTGACCACTTGTCTAACTCTGTTGTTTTATTTTATATATCGAGCTAGGCCGGGGCCAGGGTGAGGCAAATGATGTGCCTCGTGGGACCCTCAGAGTGCTGATGTCTCCTTCAGTTTTGTACCATAGTTTTGTTTGTTTTGTTCAGTTTTGTTTGCCTCACCTTAGCCCTGAGGCTGACGAAACACAGTGCAGAAGAATATGCTTTCATTGATATTCACTGATCACCTGTAGTCTTGCTCTGATCCCCATTGGTTGTCAAGCCCTCAGAAAAAGTAAAGACCCAAACCAGACTGTGGTTTAAGCCAGAGCTCTTCCCATATTGCACCACAGATATGGGTACTGCTGTGCCCAGATACTGGCCCCAGGGGAATTGGAGCCCCTAGGCCAGTGGTTTTAGACCTTGAGCTGATTCTTCCATTTACCTCAGTGTATAGGATGACCAACTGTCCAATTTGCTTGGGACTTTCTCAGTTTTAGCACTGAAAGTCCCATGTCCCAGGAAACTGCTCAGTCTCAGGCAAACCAGGATGGTTGGTCGCTCTAACAGTGTGCCGTACCAAAAACCTCTGTGTGCCTTAGTTTCCTTAGAAAAAGGGATGATAATAGTAACTTACCTCACAGGGTTGTTGTGAGGATTAAATGAGTTATTTTATGTGAAGTGCTTGCCTGGCCCATGGTAGGTACTATATAAATATATACTATTATTTGTCATCTTTTTCTATGCAGTGTCGGGGAAAGGTTGGGAGGCACTGTTCTAAGGGTTGGTCTTGTAGGTGATGTGCTAACACCATAGGGACGTTGCTGTAAATGAGTTGTGAATGGCCCATCATTTGCAGACTACTATGGGAGAAGTCCACATTGATAAATGACTAAGAAACAGGCAAATATAGTCAGTACATTGTGAATCGTGGGATGAGGGTAGATCCGAGATAGAATCATAGAATGCTATTTCAGAAAACTAGACCAGCCCCCTTAGTCACGAATGAGGAAACAGGCCCAGAGAGGGTCAAAGACTTGTCTAAAGCCACAAGTCAAGTTAGTGCAGTTCTGAAACTAGAACCTGTGTCTCTGGAATGTGAAATCTGTGTCTTTTTTCCCCATCATGTACAAGCATCAGAAAATGGGTAGAGGATTTTAGTTTGACTTCCTGGATGTATCGGTTTTAAAAACTGGTAGCAAAAGCTACAACTTATGCTACTCTGTCTCTAGCTGGGGCCCTAGGAATGCCCTCGAGCTGGGGTTCATGTGGCTTTTTTCCTATTCAGGTCTGATCATGTCCGCTATCACCGTTCTCATCCTGATTCTGTACTTCGTGATTGACAACTTCGTGATACAGCGCAGACCATGGCTAGCAGAGTGCACTCCCATTTACATCCAGTACTTTGTCAAGTTCTTCATCATTGGCGTCACCGTACTGGTGGTAGCTGTGCCGGAGGGGCTGCCACTGGCTGTCACCATCTCACTGGCCTACTCTGTGAAGGTGAGACTAGATGATACTGTCTTCCTTTAGGACAGAGATGGGAGGGGAGGGTGCCACATAGCCTTTAATGAAAGGACAGACCGTCTATCCCCTGTAAACTCCGGGTGGTACCTCATAAGAACACAAGTCCCAGTTACTGTGAAGGACCATCGTGACCAGTTGCATCAGTGTTTAAGTGACCTAGTAGAATCTACAGAGGATTCATAAGAATTCTGCATTTTTATGTGAGACAAGAGAATGAAATGTGGAAAGATGTTGGTTAGGCCTTTGACCTTTATTTGGGGCAGCTCAATTGGTCCTCTCTCAAGTCTTTTCTCTTGTCCTCTGTAGAAAATGATGAAAGACAATAACCTGGTACGGCATCTGGATGCTTGTGAGACAATGGGCAACGCCACAGCCATTTGCTCTGACAAGACAGGCACATTGACCATGAACCGCATGACAGTGGTACAGGCTTTTATCGGAGACACCCGTTACCATCAGCTCCCAAGTCCTGATGCCCTTGTGCCCAAGGTCCTGGACCTTATTGTCAATGGCATTTCTATCAACAGTGCCTATACCTCCAAGCTCCTGGTAAGTGCTTCCTTTGCCTGGACACCTAGAATGGGCAGTTGGAGGGAACATTAATGTTCTCCAAGACAGTTCATTTTCTTTTGTTCATCCTGCTTGAATTGCCATCCCACATCGCATTTCCCACTCTGCAGTGAACATCTTTGGGGTAAGATGTGAGTAGATTGGGGGGTGGCAGATAGGAATTTATAGCTGTGAGATACCCTCCAATTACCGCGTAAAGGCAAAATCTCCAGGGAGAGACCTCATGCCGATAGCAGAAGTCTTATCAGGAGTAAAGTACTCACTTTCCAGAAACTCAGAGGGCATTAGAATAAGACCCCACACAGGGTGAGACACCAGCACCAACCCCAGGGCACACTAAAAACCCCTGATCCCTGGATGGCTCCGGGACCAGTTACCACTGACCACTGTCTGCCTCAAAAAAAAAAATGCTGTCCCCCACCCTTCTCTGCTTTGAGCTCAGGGTATAGATGTGAAAGTTTTGAGCGGAGTTCTTTCTTTCCTGAGTCTTCTCCCTGGTTGAGCAGTCTTATCTAATAGTGTTTTGTATGTTTTTCTCTCAGCCTCCGGAGAAGGAGGGAGGCCTGCCACGGCAGGTGGGCAACAAGACAGAGTGTGCGCTGCTGGGCTTTGTCACTGACCTGAAGCAGGACTACCATGCGGTGCGCAGTGAGGTGCCCGAGGAGAAGCTCTACAAGGTGTACACCTTCAACTCAGTGCGCAAGTCCATGAGCACCGTCATTCAGAAGCCCAGCGGCGGCTACCGCATGTACAGCAAGGGCGCCTCTGAGATCATCTTGCGCAAGTGAGTGTTCCTTCCCCGCTCCTTCCCTTCAAGACCCTCCCTCAGGAAGGTCCAGGTGATGTGCCCCACGCTGATGCCTCTGAAATGATGTGCGAACCTTCTTCGGGTGGTGACACAGCAACTAGTATCTGAGCATTTACTTAGACCAACCACTGTTTTTAAGTAACTGAGATGGCTCATTTTATTTAATCCTCACAACTCAGTGAAGTAGATACTGTTACCATCGTTTTTACAGATGAGAAAACAGAGGTACAGGGAAGTTAATGTACTTGCTCAAGGTGATACAGCTAATAGTGGCACAGCCAGGATTCAGACGTAGGCCATCCAAGCTTGTTTCCTAAACCGAAAGCATATAGTAATACTCGCCCACCTTACAGGATTACTGTAATTAAATGATTCAATGTACATAAAGCACCTTGCACACAGTGAGTACTAGAAATGTTAGTTCTATGTTCCCTTTTCCTTCTCATTCTCAATTCTAGTTACAGGGAAGCTGCATAACTTAATCAAAGTGGCTAGACTATCCAGGTCATTTTAACGGCTGACCTACGTCAGTATAGAGTCAGTAACGCGATTAGCCAGTACCTCAATTTATCTTTAGCTACCTCTGTCAATGAACGAATTCTTGTTGAGCACATCCTATCTAGTGGGTACTATTCCAGATACTGGGGACTAAAAAAGTCCCTCTTCCTTTGAGAAGTTCAGAAGAGCAGGTGATTCACAAATGACTACATCGCATATGAGTAGGAGCAGATGACATGAGAGAATCAAATGTTCTGCCTACCTAGACCCTATCCATCTATAAGCACCACCTCCCCTCCCCTTAGAAAAAAGGACCCAGCCGAGTGATAGATAGAGATTTCTGGTCATGGAGCAGTCTTTAGAAGTAATGCGTTCTTGCCAGAATATCTATAAAAGACTATAGGGACACACTGTGTGGGAAGGGGGTGCTGCTCTCTGATTGTGCACCTCCCCAGGTGCAATCGAATCCTGGACAAGAAAGGGGAAGCAATACCATTCAAGAATAAGGACCGAGATGAGATGGTACGCACTGTCATTGAGCCCATGGCCTGTGAGGGACTCCGGACTATCTGCTTAGCTTACCGAGATTTCAATGACGTGGAGCCCCCGTGGGACAATGAGAACGAGATCCTAACTGAACTGACCTGTATCGCAGTGGTGGGCATTGAGGACCCCGTGCGTCCAGAGGTGAGGCTTTGGCTTGGAGAAAAAGCAAGAACACATGAATGGAAGTCTTCCAGCAGCCCCTGGCTCATGTGCAGGCTCAGTGTGACCTACTGGGAAGCCACCAGGAGTCACGGGAACGGGGGTACTGGTTCTGTGTCTAGTTGTGACCAACGCAACGAGGATAACTTTCTGTGCTTCTGGTTTCACAGAACTGCTGCAGTCTGGAACCGATGGGAGGTGGCATCCTTCGGTTAATGCTGTCTGTAGGGTGAAAAGCATAGGTTTCACTGGGCTTATTTAGTTCTAAGAATAGTCAGGAGGTTGAATTAACCACTGGACACCAACTTTGTCTCTAGCCACCCTCTTTCAATGAACACGTTTTCACTGAATCCCCCCAGAAAAGCTGAACATTATTCTCAATGCTAGGGCATTTTAAAAGTCTCTACTTCTAAGAACTTCAGATAAGTAGACTATCAGTTGTCACGGCTCAGTGTCATGAAAGGGTGTCGTGCGTTTGGGGAACTGCAGAGAATTGATGTGGTTGGGGCACAGGCCAGGGAGGGTGGAGAGCGGTAAAAACTTCTGCTAGAAGTGAAGGCAGTGGCCAAATCTCAGAAGGTTATACAAATCTCACAACTCCAGTTAAGGAGTCTAGATTGTAAGTGGCAGAGTAAGCTTTTACACTTGGCTCCTGAAGCTCATTTCCCCTTCACCTCATGATACAATGAGGCAAGTTCCAATGTAAGTATCACAGGTAGGACAGAAGTGAGGCGACACCGAGTAATGTAAAATGACCATACTTAACCTGTGCCCCACTGCTTCTAAAGTGCCTCTCGTCCACGGTGAAGGGACAGCTGAGCAGGGGCAGCTTAGCAGCATCCCCGGCCCTGTCTCCTTCTCTCCTCTTGCCTCACTCTCCACAGGTCCCAGAAGCTATTGCCAAATGCAAACGAGCCGGCATCACTGTCAGAATGGTGACAGGAGACAACATCAACACGGCCCGGGCCATCGCCACCAAATGTGGCATTGTGACACCTGGGGATGACTTCTTGTGCTTGGAAGGCAAAGAATTCAACCGACTCATTCGCAACGAGAAGGGCGAGGTGGGTTCTGGGTGGAAGGAAGCGGGGCCTCCTTTGGCAAGCGAAGGGTCGGTTCTAGTGTTAGGCATCTGGGACACATGGGAGAAAGTGGGTGGTTTTTAAAATGAAATCTATTCATAGTGAAACGTCCTTTCCACCAAAGCTGCTCAGATGGTAAAATTGAGGATTCTTCTCATGATTTTCATTCACAAGCTAGCTTTTGAGACAGTGTCACTATCTATTCACGTCTTTTTATTTTTTTCAGTTGTGGGACGATTTCATACTGATTTTCCTCTACTTCATTTATCCTCCTCTGTCACTGCCCTGTGACTAGCAGTGGCACAGGTTTGTGAGAGGACATGGTCTGGGTATGGCGAGACCCAAGCTTCCTGGTCCTCATAGATATCAAACCTAAGACCTCAGAAGTACCACTTCAGTCACCTAAGCCAACAACTAACCCTGGCTCACCTCCTGTCAAGAGTCTAAGAAATAGGGGATTGGTGTCCAGGTAGGGAATTGGGAAGAGAAAGGAGACAAGCAGGGACTGAATGGTTACCATCAGCGAATCGCACACTGAGTGGGCTGCTTCATCTCCAATGGAGGCTGAGCTGACGCTTCCCCCTGGGCCATGGAGTGCTATTGAACCAGTGGCTCAGAGTGTGTGGGGAAGTAAGATTTTCCTGGATGGCTGTTCTGAGCTTTACTGACCCAGGTGTTGTCTGGTGTTGGCAGGTGGAGCAAGAAAAACTGGACAAGATCTGGCCTAAGCTTCGAGTCCTGGCACGATCTTCCCCCACTGACAAGCATACACTGGTAAAAGGTAAGATCAGCTCCTAAGTAGGTGCCTGGAGTAGAGGAAGGCAGGCCAGGGTAGGGACAGATAAGAACTATCAGCCAAAGCAACTCTCTTGTCCTGAATAGGAAGGTCCCAGGAGAGCTCTTAGGCTAAATGTACAGTTAGCAAACAACTGAGCCCCTGGTGAGTATAAGACTTACAATAAAGTTGTTTTCAAACGTTATCATATCTTGTTTGCCAATAATACTATGAACAAGGCAGGGCAGGTTAAACTTCCCATTTTGCAAACAAGGAAGCTGGAGGCTGAGAAGACAAGCAACTTATCCAAATTGCCCAGCTGGTAAGTGGAAGTGGTAGAGTTCGATCCCAAGTCTCTGCCTTCAAATCATTTGGTTCTTTTTCTACCACATAATAGCGGCTTTAGGGCACCATACAGAGTGTCTGATGAGGACAGACTTTCTTAGCTCAGAGCGCTACCCATGAAACAATTTACTGCCCTTGGGTGATAGTGTAGAACTTCCAGCATAGGGAAAAAGGAAGGAAAGAAGAAAGTAGGAAGGAAGGTGATGGCTGGGATCAGGGAGGAAGACCAGGAAAGCACCTTTTGTGGGGAACAGGGCTTGCCAGATGGCCTCAGATGGTGCATGTGGACTGACTGAGGTGTGTCTGCTTTTCCCAGGCATCATTGACAGCACTGTTGGGGAACAGCGACAGGTGGTGGCTGTCACTGGTGATGGCACAAATGATGGGCCAGCTCTGAAGAAAGCGGATGTTGGCTTTGCCATGGTAAGCAGCTCAGCACAGTGTCTCTGTCTGGCTGTAAGCTGCCTTCTCCATCGGGAAGCGAGGGCAGACTTCCTGTACCTTCTCATCCTACTTTGTGCTATGTTCTCCGACTCCATCTCTCTTACCTACCTAGCCAATAATAATACATATAATGGGAGACCACCAAGTATGAAGAATAGATGAGACAGGAAGGGAAATCAGAAGTATTCATTACCCAGGAAAGCAAGACCAACTTAAACTTGCCCATGAACATGGCGATATTGTCTGCCTAGGCATGCTATGGAAAATTCATGGTTCATATAGAATATATACTTCGGGGCCAGCACTATTCATCACTCTGCTTTTCTCTCATGAGGCTGGGAGCATCAGAACTTCTTGGAGAGTTCATTGAAAGTTATATATTCCAAGGTTCCACAGTTGGATATCTTGATTCAGTGATATCTAGGGTGGGTCCTAGAAATATCTGGGTTTTCTTAACAGACACATGTGTCGATTCTTATATTCAGGGACATTTAGAAGCCCCCAGATTGCAAAGTACATCCTCATACTCAAGTAGCTTATAACTGTAAGTCTCCCCTATATATTAAACTGATGATGATATTTAAGCAGTGGAAGGAGATTTGAGAAGTAATCTGTTTTTAGGATGCTGTCTTTAACAACAAAGTTTTTACTCTAGGAAATATCAAGAATATACAAAAGCAGGGAGAATAGTTTAATCAGTCCCCATGCACCTGTCACCCAACATTAGTTATCAACACTTGGCCAGTCTCGTTTCACTGGACCTCTCCACCCACCCCTTTACTTCCCCCATCTCCAGCTGAATTATTCTGAAGCAAATGGAAGACATATGTCATTGTATCAAAAAAAAAAAAAAAAAAAAGTCAGTATATGTCTCTGAGAGATAAGTATGTATTAATAAAATATATTTAAAAGAATCATAATAGCATTATCTCATAAAAAATTGATTCGTTATTGTCATCGGCTATCTAGTCAGTTTGCATTTCCCCAATTGTTTCAGAAATGTTGTTTTTTTATAGTTTATTTGTCCAGATAAGATCTATACATTGCAAGTGTTTCATGCATCTCTTAAATCTCTTAATCTTTAACAGCAGTTCTTTAAGTATGCTCCTCCTTCCAGCTGTACCTGGAAATGTGGATTCTCAGGCCCCGCCCCAGGTCTACTGAATCAGAAAGCTTGGAGATAGAACCAAGCAATCTGTGTTTTTATGTGCCCTTAGTGATTCTGATACACCCTGAAGTTTGAGAACCACTTATCCCATAAGATCCCTGTATCGAGTCCCTAAGACCGCTCTTGACATTCGTGGGTTGACTAGAAGGACTTATGGGACTCAGCATATAGCCATACTCATGGCTAAGTATAGTAAAGATATAGTAAGGGGGAAAGTCACAGGCAGAGTTTGGAGGGATCCACTTGCAAACTTCTTTATGCTCTCTCCCACCATGAGGGGTCACACAGAGCATATTCTTCCCCCAGCAACAAAAACGCAACAACACGTGTGTTGACTGGGAGCATTCTGAGAGCCAAGTTTCCAGATGCCAGCCAAGGGCCAACCTTGTAAATAGGCTTTTCTAAGGATAGCAGTCTCAGGCCCACTTGTTAACTCTTTTTCTGCACAATCCCTTTCCATCTCTTTTTCCTACCTATTTTATTTTTAAGGAACCAGGTTGTTTGTCTACATAGAGTATCTCACAGAGTGGATTTTGTTGGTTGTATTTCTGTAGTGTCCTTTAATCTGTTCTTTCGTTCCTTGTATTTCTTATAAACTAGTAATTAGTTTTAGAAGCAATCAGATTCTAGATCCCATCTTTCATTAGGGACTACAAAATGATGATGCTCTGATTTTCTTTACCTATTAACTTGAATATTCCATAAAAAGAAATGTCCCCTCATTGACTCTTTGGTTACTCTGAGGTTCAGTTCCTACATGAAAGGCAGATTAAATGCTTGAATATTTTCCTTTATTACCAGTTTTCAAAATAACAAGTTGACTTTTTATGGTCCTCCAAAGGAGACCAATGAATTTTTTTTTTTAACATCATTATGAATTCACAGATTTGAGTGTATTTGATGAGTTTCAGTCCATTTCATTGTTTGATGTTCACACTGGCCCGTCATGAGCTTCTTCAGCCCCATTGAGTCCTTTTGATACAACCCAGCTCTGTCTAATTGCTTCCGTGGTTCCTCATATGACTGGGTGTTCCAGTCATAGGAATCATCTGTTTCTCAAAGGAATCCTTTTTCATTTTAGTGAGAAGTGCTATTTAGAGGACACAATCTGAATATCAGAATGTTCCTTACTACTCAATAAATCATTGTTTCTAGACCTTTTCGGTGGACAAAGCTAGGAAATATATCTCTATGTCTCTTTTGTGTTTCTGTGTTTTTAAGTAAAAGATATCGTGAATTTGTATTGGCATTTCCAATTCAAATTTAGAATTCTAGAACTCTTCCTAATTTTATTTAACTTCCTTGATTTTACATTTCTTAAACTTTCCATTAGAGATTGCTTTTGAAACTCGTTTGTTTTAAAACTTGTTTAAAGTAGTTATATAGTTCTAAAGTCAAATATAGAAAACAAGGTCTATTCATAGAAATCACCTCCACTCTGTTGTCTCCATAACCCATTGGTAACTTTTTTCTTTAGTTTTTGTTTTATCTTTCTGTTTGTTCCTTTAAAATATAATTAAATGAGTATTATCCTCTAAGGTAAGGGGATACTTGTCTATAGTACTATCTGTTCTTATCTACATACATAGAAGTACTCTTTTCCCCGCCTTGCTTTTTGTCACTTAACAACACCACTTGGAGATTATTCCATGGTAGTAAGTATCAATTCTTCCTTTCTTTTCCTCCTCTTTTTACAGTGCATGGTACAGCATTGTGTGGATGTATTAGAGAACTTTTTGATGGGGAAACTGAACTGTGTAGTCTATCTAACATATTTTTTGTTGCAATCTGGATAGGAAAATAATACTACCAGGTAAAGAGGACAAATAATCTACTAGTGCAAGCCAAATTAATGAATAAGCTCCTCTGGGGGTTACAGAAGCCACAAGATGTGGAATAGAAGTATGGGCTGGGGATGTTAGGTACAGCTTTGCAAAGCGAGCAGGGCTTAATTGAATGAGACATTAAAGATAGGTGGGATTTAAAGAGATTGGGAAAGAAGATGTTCCAGACTTGGGGAACTGGTATCAGTAGATGTCTACTCTAAAAGTAAATGAGAGATTCAGGAAATTGTGAATAAACCGTGGGTTTTGAGCAGAAGGATTATATAAAAACAGGTTGGAAAATGCATCAAGTTCACTTACTGAGGGCTTTGACTGCCAGACTAGAAAGTTCACTTTTTCTAAAGTACAGCTTTCAACCCTCGGTATCTCTATTCGGAAACCTTTAGTTAGTTGTTCCCCAGCCGCAGGATTTTGAACAAGATAGGACATCTGAACTGTGCTGCCAAACCACTTACTCCTCCTAGAAAAAAGATGTTGGGTGACTTAAAGTTGTGGGGCATACAAGGACTTAAATGAGATGCTGGTAGTGGCAAAATAAATTTAAGAATTTGGAGGTCAAATAGATAGGACTTGTTCCCTATCTTGTAATTCATTTCTAAGGCGGGGATGGAAGTAGGAGGGAGGAGAGAAAGGAATATCAAAGATAGCTGTAATTTGCAGTCTGGGCTCAGGAGTAAGGCGGTGACATCAAGCCCCAGCACTTTTTTCTGTAGTGATAGTGACACATTTTCCTTTCATTTTCTTTGGGAGAGAAGAGGACTCGAAATCCACGGTTTAGTCTGCAGCATTTGTGTGGCCAGTGTGCCCTCTAGTGTTAGTCCTAGTTCTGAAGCTTCCTGGAATTGGGAAATGGAATGAGTTCAGAATATAGATAAACTCTGCTTTATCCAGCTCCTCAGCTTTCCTTCTCCTTCGTACCACAGGGTATTGCAGGCACAGATGTGGCAAAAGAGGCATCAGACATCATCCTAACAGATGACAATTTTACCAGCATCGTGAAGGCCGTGATGTGGGGACGAAACGTCTATGACAGCATCTCCAAGTTCCTGCAGTTCCAGCTCACTGTCAATGTGGTGGCCGTGATTGTGGCCTTTACTGGAGCCTGCATCACTCAGGTGAAGGGAGTGTGTGTCCGTGGAGGGGGCCGAGATAGGAGGGAGGAGGGAGGGGCTAAGGAAAGTGGGGAATGGGGTGCAGTATGTCTACTGAAGAGTAAGGACAGTTTCCCCAGTGGTGTTGGGGCAGGAGTTAGCTCTACTAGGTTTGCTCTCTCTTCCTGCTCATGTGGGAATGATGATAATTTATCTACTTAATTTAGCACTTACGTATGAGCCACTGTGCTGAGCACTTATATGTATAATCTCTATTTTTCAAAAACAATCTTGCAAGTAGATATTATCTCATTTTGCAGGTGAGGAACCCAAGACTTAAAGAGGTTAAGTAATTTTCTCAAGGTCACTCAGCTAATAAGTGGCCAGACCTGAAGTCTAGGTGGATAGCTAGAGCTAGATCATCACAAGGACGAAGATGAGGCTAATGAGTGAGGTGGGGGTCGTTTCCGAGGAAAGCTAAAAGGACCGGTCCTTCCCTCCACCAGGATTCACCACTGAAAGCCGTGCAGATGCTGTGGGTTAATCTAATCATGGACACGTTCGCCTCGTTGGCCCTGGCCACAGAGCCTCCTACAGATTCTCTGTTGAAACGTCGCCCCTATGGCCGAAATAAGCCTCTGATCTCACGGACTATGATGAAGAACATCTTAGGACATGCGGTCTATCAGCTCACAATTATCTTTTTCCTTGTCTTTGCCGGTGAGCCAAGGGTGGGGATGGGAGTGAGGCGGAAGTGGGGTGCTAGGTGGTGATGAGGCAGAAAATGACCCGAGGAAAGAAGGCAGCAGGAGAGCAAGCTGAGCACCAAACTAGGAGTAACGGCAGCTTCGCTTACCACGTGCATCCTCCGGTCCTGCTACAAGGAGCACTGTGCTAGTTTATGTACTTCTTTAAGAATTTGACAAGGTTAGCTATGTTATACCTTTTTAAAAAATAGATTATAAACTAAGGCTCCAGTCCCATTATAGTGGCACTAAGATTCAAGCCTATGTCTGCCTGATTCTTATGCACATAGTTTTATCACCATACTGCACTACAAGAAGACAGATATCAATGGAGCAAATTGAGAGAGCGGGTCAGCTATGTTGAGGCCAGGGCTAACATTTAAAATATGGGATAACTAGCCTAGCACAGATGCCAACTAGTCGGAATGGATATCAGTCATCAGCAGCCAACATGGCCACGCCGACATGTTCTGACTTAACCTGAGCCCTCCTTGAGACCATACCTACCCTCCAATGCTTCCCCTCTCCCCACTAGGTGAGAAATTCTTTGACATTGATAATGGCAGGGACGCCTCTACA